CAGCCCGGTTACGGCACCACGAGAGAATCCAGTGGCCACAGACCACCGCGGGGGAGGGGTAGCATGCTTAGCTGGATAAGAGGGGGGCTGGGGCGGGCGGGGGAAAGGGTCACACTTTGGAGGCATCAATAACAGAGCAGGGCTGTGCGGCCCTGTGTAATGCACCCAGCACTAACAGAGGGCTCCCGCAGACAAGCTGCCTGAGGCCAGAGATTGGCTCGTTTTCAGTAAGTCCTGGGAAGTGCTTCTCAGTCCTCGGCTGTGCCTGCTGGACTGGTGAGTGGAGCACAGGTGCCCTCCGGAAGCCTGGCAGCTGTTGCTTTAGAGTGCGTTGAATAGCCAGGAGCATCAGCCCCCCAGCACGGCTACTTCTTCTGGATGCCCCGATGCACCAGGCTGTTAAATCAGTGGCGGTGAATGGTGCCTAGGAAAGGAGCCGTGATCACTATTTTACTTTGCTCACCTTGCCCTGTGCGCCATGGGGACACCTGCGGCTCCTGGTAAGATCCTATTTCACAGCCTGGAGTCTTCATTCTGTTTTATTTTTCCTGCTAGCAAGAAGCACTTTAAAGAATGTATCAGTTTTATCCACTACTGTCGCCTGCATGGAGGGAACTGCCTTGTTCACTGGTAATGCTCCCTTCCGATGACCCTCGCGCGGCATTCTCCCAAGCACAGCGCACTGGGAAACTGGACTGGGCAGCAGAGTCCCCAGAAGGCCCAGGCTTTGTAGAAAAGAGACCACACATGCTGGGCTGCAGCTTACGAACCAAAGCAAGTGCGCTGACAGGCTCTGGCTGGGGCCTGGGGTGGTGCCTGGAGTCCGAGATCAGGCGAGTGTCTCCCCAGCCCAGCTTGATTTAAGGATGCCATTGGGTTAGGGAACTGTTTACCAAGCAGAAAGGGCAGCATTAGCTTCAGTTGTAATGGGGAGGAAGAGGAACCGATTTGGGGGAAGGATTCCAGGAAGTGGCTCATGTTTTCACTTCTTCTAGGGGCTGTAATGTTTGTATAGAGTTAACTGAGGTCATGGTGGAAGTGCCCCGTCTCCAGGAGAAGAAATTCTCTAAGGAGGAACTGAAATAGCCATGAAGAAAGAAGGAGCGCATGGTGGTGGGGGTGCCCCTGCGCTTGAAGGAGGATGGCTGTGAGTGCGGGTGGGGGCAAGGAAGAAACAGCAAAATCAAGGTCCTGATTTTCCCCCCTTTCTGACTCCAGCCTTGCAGGGATCTCCCGGAGCACCACCATTGTTGTCGCCTATGTCATGGCAGTGACGGAGCTAAGCTGGCAAGAGGTATTGCAGGCGGTAAGAGCGGTGCGACCGATTGCCAATCCCAACCCCGGCTTCAAGCAGCAGCTGGAGGAGTTCGGTCACGGCCCTGCACGAAAGGTGAGAGCAGAAGGCTGCGTATTGCCATGGTAACTGCGGTCAGTCCTTATATAGGGCTTCCCAGGCACTGCGCAAGCCCAGGGGGAGAAGGACTCAGAATCCAGAGAGGGACCTGGATCCCCAAAGAGCAAGGGAGAGCTTGGAACCGAGAGAGAGACAAGAAGGTCATTAGAAAGAGACGGACCAAGACGTGGGATCTAATGGTGGGGGAAGGCATCAGAGAGATCTATAATCCCCCACAGAAAGAGATGGGCTGTCCTGAGAGAGATTCCCAATGAGAGAGCCACACAATCCACCCTCCCTCCAAACACAGCATATGGCCAGGTCACCAGGGCTAGCACCTCGCCAGGCCTATAGGCAGGGGCGGCTCTATGTATTTTGCTGCCCCAAGCACGGCTGTCAGGCAGCCTTCGGCGGCACGCCTGCGAGAGGTCCGCCGGTCCCGCGCCTTTGGCGTACCTGCCACCGAATTGCCACCGAAACCACGGGACCGGTGGAGCTCCTGCAGGCATGCCGCTGAAGGCAGCCTGACTGCCACCCTCACGGCGACTGTCGGGCCACCCCCCACGGCTTGCTGCCCCAGGCATGCGTTTGGTGAGCTGGTGCCTGGAGCCGCCCCTGCCTATAGGACCCAGACTCCTGCCTGTAGCTTGGACCAGATCCCCACCAGGTCACTGTAGCACTCATGGCCTGCTTGACCATTCTGCACTGCCCTGCCACTTCATTCCTATTGGTCACTCACATGGCCACAAGCACAAACCAGGGGTATGTTCCTTGCCCCATTTAACGGGACATCCTAGGTAATTACAGGCCTGTTCGCCTGACATTGATCTCAGGCAAGGTAGTGGAGCGGCTGATACAGGGCTCGATTAATAAAGAATAAAGGAAGGTATTGTAATTAATGCAAGCAACGTGGGTTTATGGAAATAGATTCTGTCAAACTAATATATATACTTCTGTAAGGCATTTGACTTGGTATCAAATGATGTTTTGATTATAAAACTACAATGATATAAAATTAACATGGCACATATTAAATGGATTAAATACTGGCTACTGATAGGTCTCAAAATGTAATTGTAAATGGGGAATAGTCATCCAGTCGGTTTGTTTCCAGTGGGGTCCCACAGGGATTGGTTCTTGGCCCTATGCATTTTAACATTTTTATCAGTGACCTGGAAGAAAACATAGAATCATCACTGATAAAGTTTGCAGATGACACAAAAATTGGGGGAGTGA